ATATATAGAAAGGTATGGGTGTACCTTGTCACTCGGCCACAGGGGCCAGTTCTTAGACATACAACGGGGTAACCATGATACCATCACATGCTCAATCCCTTACCATGTGCTCTGCGGTGATACTTGGCGAGTCTTGTTGCACGCACATGCCCTCACTAGCCCTGTACAAAGGAAAATGGCTCAGAAGAATGGGCCGTTCTGAACTCAGATCGATGCCTTTGCTTCCTTTTTTTTGCATCGGTTTTTTCCTTTTGGGCATGGCGTTGAGCTGTGAGGTGATATTCGTCAAACGCTGCGATTGAAATGACACGTGGAAAGATTAAACAGGGTTAGAATACATATATGTGTCGCCCGTTTCCCACATTATTATTTAATTTTGGTTGACATTATGGTGACCAAGGCAATTGTCAAAGACTTCAAGCAGGGACGTCCAGAAACTGCCTTCGGATGCAAATACTGTGATTCGTGCCCTCATTGGCTTCCTAGTAATTTGCCTACCCTGTATGGGAAATTTTGATTACAATCGCCCATCTGCAACACGTTTGGTTTAGGCACATACCGAGACCAATATCATTAAAACTACTTCTTGACACAGAGTAATTATTTCGATTCCTAATCTAAATTGAGTAACGAACACGCACTCTTCAACAACAAAATTTTGATCTAATGCTGACCCCCTCCCCTCCCCTGCCCCTCCTCCCCCGACAAAAATAAATAAAAAATTGCAGACGATGTTCGCGGTCGGCTTGATCCCTGACAACTATATATGTGGGTGCTGCGTACTGTATCTTCTCTGGTGTACCTGACGCAGACAATCATACTGGTGGACCCAATATTCGGTGAACAAAGTAGAGTCATACGTCATACAACATCCGCATGCCTGGGGAGCACTTACAAAGGTACACACATGCAGCAATAGAGGGACTTGTAATGTTCCTTCAGATCAGACCACGCGTGTAGGCACAAACTGAATATCCCGTGCATGTTCAGTGTCAGAATTGTACACACAAGGTCGCGGTCCACATACATTGCGGGCGGTTGTGCACATTTGGCAGTTGTCCACAAAGGCCATGGAGTTGACCGACACGAATGTGATGTTCTTCACCACTCGCATGTTCACGGCGGGTCCTGTTTTAGGGTTTAGGGGTTTTAGGGTTTTAGGGTTTTATTCGCATGTTCACAACGGGACCTGTGTTATGGATATCGTAACACCGTTAGGGCGTAGTTCGAGTCCTGCATAGACAAACTCACAGCATTTCTTCCCAACGAGCGCTTGATAGACTTTGAAAGGGATTTAATATATGTTTAAGCTCTGGATAGAGCCCGAGGTCGTAACATTTGGTTCCAGAGCCGGCGGGCGGATCAGATAAATAAACAGGATCTACCAGTACAAGTCTTGGAAACAAAGACTCTCGGCTGCAAATTGCAAATTGAGGGCTGTAGATAAACCCCTACTGTGAAATAATGGCAAGGGCCGTGCAGTCCAATGGGCAGCTAGCGATTCAATGACACCCTAATGGCTTACACTATCCCAAACTATTACGGATAAGTAGCTTTCTTATCAAGTTCTAGTAGATTGGATACAACAGAATAGTCCAAATCATCGTCGAATAAATAACAGCCTGACTCTTGGGAAAGATTTCGAAAACACACATAAATTTTGCAAAGAATTGGATATTTTTGAATAAGCATATGTAGCCATTCGATACCAATAGACATGCGGACGTTTACATGACCCCGCGAGCACAGACATACACCTATATCCATACACTCGAAAATACTTGTGTGTTCTTATGACTGATGTATAGGCGACAACCACCAAGTACAATAATTGATGTACATACCGAAGGCCTCTTCGAACCTCTGGACCAGAAACGGTCGAGCCATTTCATGAAAACCAATGTCGTGGTTGCCAATTATGGGGATCATGGGTACCTGTGTGGAGGGCACTCAATGTAAGCCAACAGACAATGTGTGTGTCCACCGGGTGTGTATGTTGGAAAGTACACTGACAGATCAAGGCTGATACTTTGACGTGAATTGGGGGTGAAGAGGGAAAACAAACACACCTGCGCATCGAATGACGAGGCTACGAGAGTTAAGATCGAATACTCTGTCGCTGCCATGCTTACTAAGCATTAACATCGTATATTGAAAACGAATATCATGTAAACTCAATCAGAAATGGATATTAAGAGGCTCTGCTATCGGGCGTGAGGCAGACTTCAAAATTTGTATAATTATACGAACATAAACATTATGTGCATGTGACAAATTTGTTGCATGTATCATAGCAGGAACGAATATATTATGTTCAGGATTCGTGCGCAATTATAGACCTGTAAGTGTACACCGAACATGTGCATTTGTGAGCCCCACCTACCCCTTCAGGCATGGCAAAAATACGATGAAACCTCTCTATCGTACTGTCCCACTCCGGTTTCTTTGCCCATTTTCCCTCGTCAAAGAGATCGCCCATGAGAATCACTACCTCTGGTTGGAACAGCTGAACCGAAGTTCGGAACACCGACTCCATCTGACGCTCACGGCGCACTCGATCTATCCACATGCCTTTCCGCCTCCCGAGCAAATGCGGATCTATAATTGTATAGAGCGCAATCACAAAAGTGCGTGTGGGTGTGTGTGCGTGCCGTACATGCACATGTGGAAACCTAATTACGCGTATACGCATGCTTGTGTATAGATGGCGTATGTTTTTGAGAATGTGGGTTCGCGGTAAGTGTGCATGATCGATCTCATGTGGAAAGGAAGATAACCAGGGAAGTGCACAACTACTCTGACTGTATTTATTGTTCGATGAAAAAGCAGTGTTGTGAGCGATAGACAAGCGACGCTATCTTAAAATAATCAAATCATGTGAATTGCATACAGCGTCTAGACGAAACCATGCGATGGTAACTTGTATATTATATATATTTATGTATTTATATATATATATATATATATATGCTTGTATTCTATGATCTGTTTGTGAACATCAGTAGGAAAATAATAGACAGATTGTATGATACAATAACATGTATTTATTTCATTGCATATGCAACATACAATGATCCGAAACAACTTTGTGAATTAAACAGGTACCATTAAAAAGAAAACATGCCTATGCTTGCATGAAAAAAGGGGCAATACACTCCAAGACGAAGATATCATACACTATAAACAAGATGTATATTTTCATAACTTTGTTGTTATAAAATAATTGGACAAAAAATATAACAATGATATTAAC